TGTGAGGAGGGGCGCGGGGGGTAAGTCGGAGTCGGCCAGACGAAGCCCTGGCTGGTTGGAGACCGCCGCGCTGCGGTCCGAGGAGAGCCGAGGGAGCGAGCGAGGGAGGCAGCGACTAGCACAGCAGAAGAGCCGTGCGCTTCTAACGCTTCGCGAGCTGTCATATCGGGAGGAGCGAGGCGCACCCCTGGCAGCTACCGCCCCTCACAGTGCGCGAACGAGGGGCATCAGACCTGACGCCCCTCCCAGCAGCAGTCCGCACTGTAAGGGCAGGGCTACGCCGTCGTAGGAACGCCACCACAAAGCGCCCCGACGCCGCCACCGCGCGTCACGCGGTGCACGTGAGCGATGAATGTGGCCGCCACCTCAGACGGGACAGGCCGCAGGACAGCCGTCGCCAGCGTTGCGCCGATCTGGAACGAGGCGGCCCCCACGGGCCCGGCCTATGTCGTACGCACCGCGGTCTATTTTGGCGGTCTCGAAGCGTGAGTGTCTGAGACACGCATACGAGGCGCCCCGACAGAGACAAGAGGGAGCGCGCAAGAGGGCGGGGATGACCGAGACCGAGCACGCGCGTGACGCGCGCAGATGAAGACTAGACGGCGTAACTTCTGCGCCGCCGGCAGTCGCGCAGTCGCGCCACGACATCTCACTGGTGAAAAGTGAAAAGGGCGTAAGTCCTCGGACTTCCCATTGGACTTACACCCTTTTCACTTTTTCACCAGTGACCTCACAGAAACCTCTCCTCCACTGCACTTTGCACGCAGAACCGCGCAACCACTTAGCCGCTTACAACAATGTTGAAAGCTGTGGCCACCCGCAAGGAAAACGAGGAGCGGGACAGAAGAACTGAACCGAAATACTACTTCTCTCTGACCCGCGCACTCTCCCGCATCGCCTGGCAAGGCTCCAGACGCAGACGGAATGCCCGGGAGAGTGAGAGTTTGATAAAGCGACGGACGCATCGATATGTCTAAAGTCAAGATAAATAGCGACAGAAAAAGGAGAGATAAACGCGGCGATAGCAGGCGCCGTTGGGAGAGTCAGAGAAAAGTAAAAAAGGATGCAGGAAGTGAGGCAAGCAAATTAGGGTAGGAGGAGAAGGAGGATAGTGTCTTGCAAGGAAGAAATACAGTACAGCGCATGCAGATGATACAGTTGACGCCCATTTTGGAACTAAAGTCAGTAGACTTGTGTACAGAGCCATCAAGGGTTGGATTCAATGGGACAGCCCGCCTGCAGGGGAGACAGACATTTTTGTCAAGATAGTAATCAAACGACATGCGTCTAGCTTGCCTAGGAAGGAGGAAAGAAAGAGAAAGGAAGACAAGTGTATTAAAAAAATCCTTGGTGATGTGTTAGTTACTCATGTCAGCTGATCCGGCGATCCATCCCGTCCCGACCGGGCCTGTGTCCCCCACAGTGAACGCCCCACGCCCCCGGCCCCCCGACCCCGCTCACCGGGGCACGGCCGGAGCGGGTGGGGGGCGGGGGAGGTCCCAGGGCCCCTAGGGGGCTGGGCGGACCCCGGGGCAGACCCTACAAACAGAGCCACATGCAATGCATGCCCAACTACCGTCCTGGTGAGTTGCACCGTCCGACTGAAGGGCCATCCCCCAACGAGCGTGTGGGTGGCAGGAACAACGGAGGACGCGTACGAATTCGATTCAACGATTCAAAATTCACAAAACTTAAAATACGTTCCTATTGAAACTAAACCTCTAATTCTAAAAAATTAAAAAAATAAAAATTTAAAACCAATCAAAAATGAATCAATAGCCTAATACACCAGCTACTGCTCCTATCTTAGCAATGGCCTACCTGCCAAGGTAAAATCTCAAGCCCTATCGCACAAACAACAAATTAAATCTTTACCAAGAAATGAACCAGGAGCAGTTCTAAAATTTCAAACCAGATGGAACTGCAATTGTTAGAATCTAACGGATACTATCACTCTTCCCACCCATTAGTAAGCCTGAGTCCGATAAAATTATCACTCACCATCCAAACTGTAGAGCGGAGCCCCGAACATGTAGGGGTACATGTAGTGGGGGTGCGGGGGGTAGGGCAGGGGCCCCATCGGAGGTAGAGGTGGGGGCCCCGGGCTGGGCCCCGGGCTGGGGCCGCTGGGCAGGCCGCCCGAGTCGCAGTCCTGGGGGCTGCTGGGAGGTCCGCTGGGCGGGCCGGACCCGGCCGACTCGGAGCTGGGACCCGAGCAGTTCTGCACAAAATCACACAAACGAAGCCAGTCAGAGCGTCGTCAACCAAGTGAGTTGGCAAAGAGAGGAGCACTAAAACCCAAAACGACTTGTTTACCTCACTCACCTGCGAGTCCACAGAGAACCGCTTGCGGCCGTGCATGTAGCAGTAGTCGGACTGCATGGGGCCCATGTGCGGGGGCGGCCCGTGGGGCGGCGGGGGCAGGCGGGGGTTGAACCACTCGATCGGGGGCAGGCCCATGGGCGGCAGCCCCATCATGCCGGGCCCGGGGCCCACCACCACCGTCACCGCGCCGGTGTAGGGGTCGTACATCTCGTAGCCGCCTGCCGGACATCAAGGAAGTGAGAATACGCCAGGGAGTGGCAACTCACATAAACAACCAACCACCCCCAACTGCAACCCGGCGCCGCCGCCAACGCCCCGCCCAGGCCGGCCCGGCCAGCGCGCCGGGGAGGTAGGCAACCGAGTGGACGAGCGCGCGCAGGCGCGGCGGTGCGGCCTACCCCCGCGGCGCTGGGCGGAGCCGGGCCCGGGCGGGCCAGGCCGAGGCGGAGCATAGAGGAGCGAGCGCCAGGTCAGTGCCCTCGCGGCCCCAGGACCCCTCCCCTCTGCATACCGTTCACGTAGTACATGCCCGTGGTCGGGTCCACGAAAGCCCCCGGATAGTAGTACGCCTGGTCGTCCATCATGTCGGAGCCGTCGCCGCAGTCCGCGTCCACGCCGTCTGCAATGGGGACAAGCACGGTCATTCACAACGCCATTTTACTGCTGTTACTGCGCCACTTATTGCAGAGACTCGCCCTCACCTCCGTTGTGGAGCGCGCCGTCGCCGTTGGTCGAGCCGTTGGTGGACGCGCCGTTGGAGAGGCCGTTGGAAGTGGCGGGGTCCGCAGTGGGCCGCTTGCGCCCCAGGTAGCCCTTCTTGAAGAGCACGTCCTGCCTGGGTGTTGTAATGCGCGTGTACTCGTCTGAAAACAAAAGAAAACGTAGTCGTGAGGGAAAAGTCCGGTGTAGGGTGCATTGAGGGTCGGTAATAACGGCGCAGGAGACGGACGCCCAGTCTTTGAGCGGCCGATGGGGCGTACGAAGGATAAATCCAGGGTCCTGCCCATCGTGCGCCCGCCGCCCACCCCTGCTGTCTAGGCAAGGCGGCGGGGTGGTGGCGGGGCGTGGCGGGCAGGCGGCACCACTGACCTACACATGGCGGGGGGGCCGGCGGGGGAAGCAGAGGCCCTGCTTCTTCCTCTTCCCAATCCCCCTCCCACTCCGGGGATCGATCCACGTCCCCATCCCACACATCCCGCCCACCAGCCCGACTGCCCAGGCGCACCCCGCACCCTAGTCGTGCTGAGCCCCCAACCGCCGCTATACCTCCCCCCCTCCCACGTCCTTGCTTATTTTTATTACATCGTTCCTCCTTTATCTCCCCCATCTGAGATTCATGGCTGCACCCAAATAACGCGAATGCACACCAGTACACCCCTGTCTGGAACAGCTGTCCTGGACATAAGGGCGCAATGACAATATTTTCTGACAACCCCTCACCCCCTTCCCCCTTCTCGGGGCTTCTAGTAAACAAGCAAGGCCCGCCCTTCCGCCAAACGAAGTTGCCAGCTTCACTTCGCTCCGCAGGCAGCTCCGTTCGGCTTGGC